ATATGGAGAAAAGGAGTCACACAAAAACCGATAAATGTTGGAAGACGATGAGAGGTGTCGATTACATCTGGTTAGAATGTGAGCTGTTTAATTTCATTGCTCTCCCTCTGTGTCTGTAACACACACCAGCATTAGCTCTGGGTGCCGAGGGACAGCTTTTGGGATGATGGTGGCCCTGTCTGTGGTGAGAACCACACCCTAGTGAAAAGCCATGCAGGCAAAGCTGGAGTGGATTTATTTTAGGGTTCTTTCTATTCACTCACGTGATGTGGGCGTCGCTGGCTGGCCAGCATTTCTTGCCCATCCCTAGCTGTCCTTGAGAAGGCGGTGGGAGCTGCCTTTCTTTTAATAGAATCCTGACAGTGTGAAAGCAGGCCATTCGGCCCACTGAGTTCACACTGACCTTACAAAGAGTATCTCACCCAGACCCACCCTATTCCTACAACCGTACATTTCCCATGGGTATCCCACCTAACTTACACATCTCTGAGCACTACGGGCAATTTAGCGTGGCCAATGCACCTAACCTGCAGATCTTTGGACTGTGGGAGGAAACCCACACAGACACAGAGGTAATGTACAAACTCCACACAGTCACCCCAGGCTGCAATTGAACCTAGGTCGCTGGTGCTGTGAGGCAGCAGTGCTAACAACCATGCTGCCCAGTCTTGGACCACTGTAGTCCCCTGTACTGTAGGGGGACCCACCATGCCAACATCTGCCTGATCTATGTTAGGTGTGAGTGCGTGTTGCCTCAGTCCTAGGTATTTTCTAACCAATCTGTCCAGAGATGTTGCCATTGGAGCAGCTTGAATCCAGGCCTCCTTGGCCAGAGGCAGGGACACTGCCATTGCATCACATGAGCCTGGGTGCTTCAGTTCTAACATTGCTTTAATGTGCAGCAGTTTCAGCCTCTGTGCCAGAGGGCTGGCTGACTCTGATTGGTCCTCAGACAGGAGAAAGACCACTCTGAATGACCACTTCAGAGCTTGATGGGTTGAGGAAGTGGCAGACCATGCTCCTGAGGTTGTACCCAGGGATCTTGTGTTTTCACAGGCAATGCACAGGACACACGAACAAGGAAGATTTCATTCTGTGGGTGCCATACACACCAGGGTTGTGGGGGGTGGGGTGTGCAATTGATGCAGAAAAGTGTTCAATGCCTGTTTGTGGGGTTCCATGTAACTCATTGAATGTCCATATGGGCCTGTATTCTCAGAAGAATGAGAAATGATCTGAAACATGGATATAACATCCTTAAGGGTAGATGCTGAGGAAAGGGTTCTTGGAAGTAAAGGGTTCAAAGAGTGTATGACGAGAAAGCAGGAACTCGGTAAAATAACTCTTCAGAGGCTGGCATCCCATTAACAATCACCCCTTTATTTATCACATAGCTTTTGAAAATAACACTGCCTCTCACTGCCTCTCAGGCATTCAGGGCCCAGTATCCCTGACATTCATCCTTTTCATGTCAGCCTGATTGGATCAGATTAACATCTCCAATCAGGGAACTCATATTCTCTGAGGTCCAGTTGGCTGACCTCATTACAAACGCAACTCAAGAGACTGAGTTGGCTGATAATCCATGGTCATATTGAATGATGGAGCAGGCTTGAACGGCCAAATAGCCTGCTCCTGCTCCTATTTTCTATGTTTCTGTGTATAAATGTTTCACCTGACAGAGGAATCTAGATGGAATTATGGTTTCAGTAATAGAGCTTAACTGTTTAGGATTAACTTTCTTTTTGGGATCATGAATCTTCGGAATTCTCCAGCCCCAGAGAGCTGTGAATGTTCAGTCAGTGAATAGATTCAAAACAGTGGTTGGTTAGATTTCCAGATGTTTAGGAAATTGAGAGATTTTGTGCAGGACGGTGAAGTTGAGGTAAAAGGTCAGCCATGATTTTGTTCAATTGCATCTCTGGTTCGAGGGACTGAATGGCCTCCTGCTGCTTTTGTTCTCTTGTTTTAATCGTATGTCTTCAAGACATCAATTAGTACATTAGGGAGGCACTCCACTTCAGCTTGCTCCATAGCAACCACTCTCTGGTGTGACAAACCAAACAACAATAGACTGATGTACAAACTAAAGAAGGAAGTCACAGCTTAATCCTTATGCGGGGGGAATGAGTGCTCAGCACATTGTTCAATTTTCACTCTGAGACCTCTGCTTCATCATTCAAGAACCTTGAAAGCTTTCAGGAACATTGAGGAGACTGCACCCTGAGTAATGTGTACATTTCTGATCTCCCTACCTGCTGTTCATGAGACTCAGTTCATTGAGGCCTCCTTGGATACAAGAGCTGGGAGTGGGAATCAATGGAGCACATGTGCTCCCAATGGTTTAACCATCTCCATTCCTTTCATTTCCTTTTTAGGTCTTCTGTGTTTGACAAATAACAGCTGGGAAATGGGATACTTTTCATCTCCAGAATGATATATTACACTCAAACACACCCACATTATTATGAATATTAGCAACAATCTCTCAAATCAGTTTTAGGAGTGTTGGATATGTATATTGTCCGGGTAAAACAAATAAACAAAACAGTGCAAATGCTGGGAATCCGAAAGAAGCACAGAAAATAGCAGAGGAATTCAACAGATCTGTCAACATCTGTGGAGTGAGAAACAGAGTTAATGTTTCAAGTCCAGTACGATTCCTCTTCGGAAAGCTCTACATTTGTTTTAAAGAGGAATCATAGCAGACTCAAATCATTAACATGTTTCTGTCTCCACGCATCCTGTGGGTCCTGCTGAGTTTCTCCAATATCTGCTGTCTATGTTTGCTAGTCCACATGGTGTTAAAAGGACATGAAAGTTCTGGTTGGATCTATGAAGCTTTATCAGACATTCAGCTTGGAGTATTGTCTCCTCCTTTTGTACCTGCAGACAGTTTGCTGATTCATTCACAAGAGTAGAGCCAATTTTAATGCCCCCTATTCTTTGAAGTTTATAAAATGCAAGGTTTTTTTACATTACAGTTTATTTCTGATTGTTTGTATGGTGCAGAGTTTTTAAGAGGCTGGAAATTCCTGGATGAGACATTGTGATTAGACCCACACACACAGACACAAACACACCCACACACACACACACACACACAGAGTAAGACTTCTTAACCAGTTCCAGATCAGTAGAGAATCTTGCCCCAATGCATCAAATGTGACATGTTTATCGTTTTGAATCTCAGGACCAAATGGAATTGTTAAATAATGTGCAATAAATATCAACTTTATTTCCCATGCCCATGTGGAGCTGAGTCCTGAGGATTCAGTCAGGACCCTTGATGTACATTTAACAGTGAGGTATTTCATCCTGCTTCTTTCTAGAGGGAATCAGTGCATCGCTGTGTTGAACTGCGATTAATCGCAGCAGGTGTTGCAACTTGGTTAATGCATCAACTGTCACTCTTAAAGGGCCACATCAGAAATGTGAACAAGAAGAGAGCTCAGATTAAATTTCCTTTTACTGAATGCAACAAAGCACTGAAGCACAGTTATTGTAGTGACAGGGATAGTTACGGCAGCAGTCCTTTTCCAACTTCATTGCAAACTTCCTGAAGCTTTAACAGGGAGAGACTCCATGTTGGTTCAAAAGCACATATCCAAAAGCATATTTTCACATGAAATTTAGAAGGTTCCATTATTCCTTCACCTGCTCACAATTTTCTAGTTATTTCAGCCATTGAGGCAAATAAACTCTAACCCCAATACCTTAAATTACTAACTGCAAACCCCGACCCCCAAAACCCAGCAGTCCCCGAACCTCAATACCCAAATTCCTGAGCATCAACACCCCTGAAACACAATCCCAAAGCCCTAAGCCCCATCACTGTCCCAAATCCTAACACACCCTTGAACCAATCACCACCAAGTCCCAATATCCCAAATGCCTTAAACCCAAACACGAATGCCCCAAACCTCAATACTTCCTTGATCTCTAACACTCTGTGAACCCCTAAACTCCACAAGCCTACAATACCAACACCCTACTACAGACAAAAACATCCAACTACTAACCTCAACATTCCAATATCCCCAAACTACTAACCCCAACTTCCTGCAATCTCACAAAATACATGAACACCCAACATTCCTGAAAACCAGTGCTTGGAACTCTGATCACTCTGACCCCCAACACTCTTGAACCTGAACTCCAATGTCCAGGAACAGCGTTATTCTAAACCTCGGCAGCTGTTACCCTGACATATCTAAGCACCAACTTGAGTGAAGTCCAACATCAGTGAGTAGTATTACCTCTTGAAATCCCTCCTCCCTAAGTTGACACTTCAGATCTCACCATTCCTGAATCGAGGATCTGCAACTCCAAAATTACAGAATCTCATTATTACTGAACACCAATGCAGTGCACACTGACACCCCTAACTCCAAACCTCCACGTCACTGAACTCTAACATCAGTAAATTTTGGGATCCCCGAAATCCAATACTCATAAACCTCACCACCTTTCAAACAGGGAACTCCCAAAACCCAACAAGCAAACACACTGACACTCTGAATGCTGACAGCTCTAAACGCCAACATCAGTGAACACTGGAAACCCATTACCCACTGAGCCCCTATGCCGAATACGGCAACAAACCCGAACCTCTGCACTCCAATGCTACTGAATCAACAGCTCTTGAACCCAATACCATTGAACCATAAAGAACCAAACCCTACCATCAGTAAAGCTTTGAACAGCAGCTGAACCCCAAAGCCCCATGAACTCCAGCTTGTTTTGGACCCCACTATCCAGAATCCCATCACCATGAACCACAAACCCTTGCACCAGCAGTCTCAGCTGAGACTCAACACCAACAAACACCATCATGAGTAAAATCCCTAAACTTCATGAATCCAGTTACCTCCACATCCCAAAGCTTTCCACATGAGACCCCTGAAGTGAAATTACTGCAGTCCAACAGATGAATGAAAAATGTTTACATAGAAAGCTCCACAGTTAGGTTAATTCAATTAAAGTAAAACTCCAGAAAATTGTGCATCAAGTGTCTTTACTAAAATTACACACTTTAAAAAATTACATTGTACAAAACTATAAGATTTAAAACACCCTTATTTTGAATACAAAAAGTCTTCCATTCTTTAAAAAAAAGAGAAAAAGAATAAAGGGAAACAAGAAATCTGGAGGGTGGTATGTTTTCCGTTCCATCGACACCAAATGACTAATATTGCATCAATGTCCCGTACTGTGGCAGTGTGCTGAGGACAAGGCAGAAACAGAACAGACCAGAGGATTGGCAAAGGAGTCTTTTGGGAGAAAAAAGTCATTGTCCATTGTCAACTCAGTGATATATATGTCCTCAAACACCTACAGAAGGAGAAGAGAGGCTCAGTGTTAAGGTTCAGGACGAAAAATGTCTGGAAACATTGAAACTGTTCTGTACACGTCAAGTTATAAATTAATCCAATATTGTTACTTAGTGGAGGCTGTGGGATTTCATTGATGTATGTGTGCCATCAGGAATGGGCTCCTTGTTAGAACAATTGCTGGTTTGGTGAAACTAAATCACAGAAATGCCTCGTGTGTGCACATTTCCTACTGCCCAATTTAAAGCAAAAAGATTTCTTTCACTCAGCCTCACTTTCTGGAGAAATTCTGTCTCTCTGTCTCTTTCTCTCAAGGCTGTGATACAACCACCAGGTCAGCTCTGTGTGTTGAAGCTGCTGTCATTCAGATTAAAACTGCTTTTCTAATGGCAATGTGGAAGTCCTAAGCAACATCCTACACTCAAACCAACAGATTCCATTTCACAGTCTGTGCTGGCTATGTGCAAGATGGCTTTTTATGTTTTTATGTACAACCAACGGTGACTCTCCTTCAAAATAGGTTACAAAGGGACATTGATAGGATGCAGAGCTGGGCTGAGAAGTGGCAGATGGAGTTTAACCCTGAAAAATGTGAGGTGATTCATTTTGGAAGGACAAACTTGAAAGCAGAATACAGGGTTAACGGAAAGATTCTTGGCAGTGTGGAGGAGCAGAGGGATCGCGGGGTTATGTTCACAGTTCCCTGAAAGCTTCCACCCAGGTGGATAGAGTTGTTAAGAAGGCGTATGGTGTGTTAGCTTTCATTAATAGAGGGATTGAGTTCAAGAGCCGTGAAGTTATGTTCCAGCTATACAAAAGCCTGGTTCGGCCACATCTGCCTCTCTGCTCCTATGATGCTGCCTGGCCTGCTGTGTTCATCCAGCCCTGCACCTTGTTGTCTCTGGAGTATTGTGTCCAGTTCTGGTCGCCTCATTACAGGAAAGATGTGGAAGGGGTTAGAACAGGTGCAGAGGAGATTTACCAGGATGTTGCCTGGAATGGAGGGAAGGTCTTACGAGGAAAGGTTGAGAGAGCTAGGGCTTTTCTCTTCAGAACGATGATGGATGTGAGGTGACTTGATAGAGGTGTACAAAATGATCAGAGGTATAGATAAAGTAGACAGCCAGAGACTTTTTCCTAGGGTGCAGGTAGCTTTTATGAGGAGGCATAGTTTTAAAATGAGAGGAGGTAGATATAGGGGAGACGTCAGAGGTAGGTTCTTTACTCGGAGAGTGGTCGGGGCGTGGAATGCATTGCCGGAGAGGGTAGTGGAGTCAGCCTCATTAGGGACATTTAAGCGGCTATTAGATAGGCATATGGATGATAGTATAAGGTAGGGGTCGAGGTTAGATAGACCTTAGGATTAGGTTAAAAGTTCGGCACAACATTGTGGGCCAAAGGGCCTGTACTGTGCTGTACTGTTCTGTGTTCTATGTTCTAAAATGATTAAAAACATATTAAATTATTTGTGATTGGTGTTACATAAATCAAAACCCACTCTTCTTTGAAAATTACCAGCTCACTTCTTTCCCCATGCTTCTCTCTGCAATATACAATATGGGAAATCTAATACAAATGAACAAATCTTGCATGGAAATAGGAAGTGGACCTTGGCAGTGAATTAAAAGGAACTACAGTACACAGTCAACTCTTCTGAATATCATTGCAGCCATATGCATGAAAGTGTAGCTATTTCAATACTGATGATTAATACTTTAAGAGCCATAGCTGCATTGATGAGTTCAATGTCACAGTGTGTTACTGCTCTTTAGTGGGATCTACACCATATTATTGTACCTGAAGCAGTGAACTGAGACAGGCAAATGACAGTGGAATGTTCCCTGGTGCATTGTTGTTGTCCAATTGGATTAGCTTTCTCAAAACTCCACCAAACATTTGTATTGGTCTGGGCTTGTTGATTTGTGGAGAAGGAAGATGTTGTTTCTCTATGCCCCCCTCATCTCTCCTGAAGCCACTGGGGCTCTCATTGGGTGACCATGCCTCAGCTGCTGGCAGATGGTTCACCCTTTGACCATAAATGCCAATTGTGGGAGCATTAAAGACAAGCAGTGCCCATCACATAAATTCTGGGAGGTGGGAGCTGAATTGACACCCCCTCTCTCAACCTCTTTGTAATCCTCAGTTACACCTCTCCAAATGAATCATGGCTATGGACTAAAGGAAGCACAATGCTCCCGCTCCATTCTGGCAGAGCGGACTGATGATGAATTGAGTTTTTCAGCCCAGATCCTATTCTCCAATCACCTTCAATGGTGATTGAATCATGGATACCTGACAGTGCAGAAAGAGGCCATTCAGCCCATCAAGTTCACACTGACCCTCCAAAGAGCATCCTACACATACCAGCCCCCATCCCCCATCCCCATATTTACCACGGCTAATCCACCTAACCTACACATTCCTGGGCACTATAGCATGGCCAATCCTAACTATACATCTTTGGACTGTGGGAGGAAACCGGAGCACCCGGAGGAAACCGATGCAGACACGGGGAGAATGTGCAAACTCCACACAGACAGTTGGCCAAGGCTGGAATCAAACCGGGGTCCCCGGTACTGTGAGGCAGCAGTGCTAACCACTGAGCAACATTGGTCCAGGAGCATTTTTGATTTCAAAATTCTCATCCTTGTGTATGAATCCTTCCTTGGGCTCACCTCAATCCCATCATTTTATTCCTTTCTGTAACCTCCTCCAACCCTACAACTCTCCAAGAGCTCTGCATTCGCCAAGTTCAGTCCTCTCGTACATCCGTGATTTCCATTGCTCCACCATTAGTGCCTGTGCCTTCTGTTGCCTGGGGTCTAAATTTTGGAACGCCCTCCTTGAACTTTTCTGTCTTTCTATCCAACACAAGGTCACAGACTCAGGATAAGGGGTTAATCATTCAGGACTGCACAGAGAAGAATTTTATTTTCACTCAGGGGTTTGTGAATCATTGGAATTCTCCCTCTGCACCTCCCACCCCCATAAGACTCTCTGTCACTGAGTATATTCAAGATTTGGCAAGACTAGAGGTGATGACCTAGTGGTATTTTCACTGGATTGTTAATCCAGAGAGCTCAGGAGATGTCCTGGAGCCTTGGGTTCAAATCCTGTCACAGCAGATGGTGGAGATTTAGATACAATAAAAATCTGGAATTAAGAGTCTAATGATGACCATGAATCCATAACTGATTTTTAGCGGTAAAAAAACCCCATCTGGTTCATTTTAGAAAGGAAACTGTTTTCCTTACCTGATCTGGCCTACATGTGACTCCAGACCCACAGCAATGTGATTGATTCTTAACTGCCCTCTGGGCAATTGGGGATGGGCAATAAATGCTGGCTTGGCCAGATACACCCTCATCCCATGCATAAATTTAAAAAAAAGTGTTTCTCTCGGAGAATCAAGAGATAAGGGATATCAGCAGAAAGTGCTGAAAATACAGGTCAGGCAGCTTCTGGAGAGAGGAAAACAAAGTAAACAGTTCGAATCTTCATCAGAATCCTGAAGGTAAGGAGCAGTAGGCAGGAAGAGGTAGTGAGGAAGATTAGCCATGTTCACACTCAATGGTAGTACAGGCTTAATGGGCCAAATACTCTACTTGTGCCTGTATTTTTACTATACAGCTCATTGCATTGTCAGGTAGAGTGATTCAGTCCCTCAGAGCTACAATAGTCCATCCTTAGGCACAGCATCTAAGATTTTATTTTATAAATCTCACAGCAGCATTGGTGCATTTTCACAAAAACTTCTTTATCATCAGCTCCCTTCCTTTAAAGTAAATCGAAACTGACAGAAGCATCGAGGAGCAGGGCCCTCAACAAACTATTCTGTCACAACAGCTTTGAATTTCTCTTGCACTGCAATTTTCTCATTGCAAACTTGGTTAGAAAGATAACTAATACATTGGCTGAAGAATCTTTTCTGTGCGTTGTCACCAGACCAGTTTCCTTTATTCTAGGAGCCTTTTCAACCCTGAGCTCTCGGCTTTAATCCCCATGCCCGTTCTGCCAGGTGCTGCTTCTCTGTTACACATAGTGATAAAGATCCTCACCCCAATGGAGCAGGGAGTCACCAAGCTGCACATATCATAATGCCAAGCGCATGACAGGGCTAGTGTGGGCTAAAGGGGATCCCTCGATCAGAGATAATCTGTGATCGAGGGCCTGGGAACTGGGAAGGGTGGGGCCAATGAGAACCACACTTCTGTCCTTGCTTCAGATACCTCCTACCCCCTCCCCCTGTGACTTACCTACGTTACCCTGAAAAATTCCACCCCCTCTCCCTCCTCTGCTCTCCTCACTATTTGCTCAGTGCCTAGGTGCCCTGTGATCCTGGCCCAGTGGTGGTTGTCCAGTGGGAACTCTGTGGCACTACTGAACAAATGCTGTTGGCTACTAACTGGCACGCAGTCCTTGCTGGGCCATCTTCCACCCACTGGGCATTGTCCTCGTCACTGCCTTGATTGGCAGGTGTTTTGGCAAAGCTTGCCTGCAGGAGGCAGTATGACTCTCTCGTCAGATCTCCAGAGAGCTGATGAGACTCCCGACACCTCAAGAAGAATCTCTATTAGATACTATTAGATACAACACGTTCCATGGGCTGCTTCTGCAGGGAATCAAAAGTGTTAGAGCTGGGTTTCAGCTGAAGCATTCCCTTAACACAGAACAAAGCAAGATCTGAACTATATCTGACAAAATAAACTCAACAGAATCTCTCTGGTGAGAAACTGCCCTCTGCTTCTTCTGTTCAGAGCCCAATTACACTTTACCACATCTTTTCTTTAAAACACTAATAAACGATCAACAACACCTGCCTCTGAATTATCTCATGTTTTGCTGCCTTCTCCCTAGCCACTCCCTCACACAGTTTTCGGTTTCGATGTACGGTGAATCAGATGGCAATCTGATGAATAGAATGTTCTAGATAAGTTGATTCAGACACTCCCATCCAACATTCAAAGTGTTCTCACAATCCCAAACAGATTCCAACTTTCTCTGATTATTGCTACAAGGATTTATCCCTCACAAATGCCTCCCATTTGATCTGAACTTGCTCCCCATTCTTCAGATTGGAGGTGACAGTCTGTGGGCAGTGCTATGTTGAACGTAACAGAGATAAAGTGAACCATCACAGCGCAACGCACTTTCATTTGGGACAATCATTCTAACCTGTGAACCTCACCTTCCATGTTTAATCATGTGATTTTAAGTGAATCTGAAAATGAACACAATAAACAATTCTCTATTGATACATCTCTGACACTGAGTATCATTTCCAACAGCATCACTAAAGTGCACGTTGTGCTGCTTAAAGGCTTTTAGATGAGTGAGATACCAGCATAACCTTGGCTGATTTCATTCATTTCTTCAAAAATGAAACCTACTGGCAAGTTGTCTTAGTTATCATTTTCCACTGACCCTACTAGGTGTACAGGAAGGTAAGGGAGGTCAGCCAGCATGGAGAACTCCCAGGGCAGGGACAGCACTGCTCCCTCTACACTGTCCCCATCAAACACCCCCAGGGCAGGGACAGCATGGCGTTAGATACAGTGTAAAGCTCCCTCTACACTGTCCCCATCAAACACCTCCACGGCAGGGACAGCAGGGGGTTAGATACAGAGTAAAACTCTCTCTACACTGTCCCCATCAAACACCCCCAGGACAGGGAGAGCATGGCATTAGATGTAGAGTAAAGCTCCTTCTACATTGTCCCCCACCAAACACCCCCAGGACAGGGACAGCATGGGATAGATACAGAGTAAAACTCTCTCTTCACTGTCCCCATCAAACACTCCCAGGATAGGGACAGCATGGGGTTAGATACCGAGTAAAACTCCGTCTACACTGTCCCCAGGACAGGAACAGCATGGGGCTAGATACTGAGTAAAGGTCTTTGTACTCTTTTAAACTGAAATTAAACTAGCTCTACACTGTTCCCATCCAACACTCCCAGGGACAGGGACAGCACCGGATTAGATACAGAGTAAAGCTCCATTTACACTGTCCCCCATCAAATATTCCCAGGACAGGGACAGCACGGGGTTAAATACAACGTAAAGCTTCTTCTACTCTGTCCCCTGTCAAACACTCCCAGGGCAGGGACAGCATGGGGTTAAATATAACGTAAATCTTCCTCTACTTTGTCCCCTGTCAAACACTCTCAGGACATGTATGCCATGGGGCTAGATATGGAGTCAAGCTCCCTCTGCACTGTCACCCACCAAACACTCCCAGAACGCGTATAGCATGGGGTTAGATACATCCTCTACACAGTCCTAAACACTTCCAGGGCATGTGTAGAAAGTGAATATCATGTAAATCTCCCTTTGAACTGTATGTTGAGACATCCTTAATGCAACACTCCCAGACAGGGACAGCATGTGGTTAGAAACAGAGTAAAGCTCCAATATACACTGTCCCCCATCAAACATTCCCAGGACATGTCCTACTTCATTCAGTCTGTGACCAGTTTAATGCCAGTCTGTTCTGAATGAGGGATACTGTTCCCCTCTGAGCCCACATCCATTGAAAATTGGATGGAGCTTTGCCCATGATGTTAGACTTAGCGTCAGTCACATCAGCCTGAAGGACTAGCTTGGAACCCAGAGGCTAGCATTTCTTTCACTTGTTATATAACTACTGTACCAGAATTAATAGAAGGCTGTATCTATCGTTAAAAAGCCCCATTATCCAGGGATATTGTACTGACTGAAAAGCTACATGCACTGTGTGTTGTGAAGACTGGTATAGTGGAGGCTACACATTTATTTTCTTCTGTGTTGTTCAAATGGACAATTGGCAGCATCCTCCTGAATGTTCCAGGGTTACACGAAAGACAAAGAAAGCAGGCAGTATCCCTGCTCCTCATCTCAGTCTAACCACTTTCCTGAAATGTACTGGGCAGCAGAGGTGGCACGGCCTACAGATGGTGATAACTCATGATACATAGACATTTCCTGGAGGCACAGGACAGTATGGTGTTGCCTACCATCTGTAAACACAGAGATGTGGGGATGGGGAAGGTGTTACAGGAACGCTTTACCATATCCAAATCCTTCAAATACACTGCAATTTAGTTGAGCTGCTGACTAACATTGCAAAGGGCACCATTTTTGGATTTGGGACCTTGTTTCTCTTGTTATTTCTTACCATACCCCACATCCCCATGCCCCACCCCACTATAATTTGTGCCCTCTTCTATGTACTATTGCAAAAATAGTTTCTTCTTCTCCTGCCAGTAGTTGATTGCTACCAAGACATCAGCCATCACACTTATCCATTCAGAACATGGTAGACCGATGGTACCAGGGCTAGGATGATTGATCAAGACATGAAGATATGATCTTCAAACCACAAAATAGGATGGTCTTGCATTCATCATCAAGTGTTCCTCAAAGTAGTCGTGATATACCCAGGTTTACCCCAGATGGGAGAGAGCTGCTCTGCCCACAGCAAAACACCTGCTTCCATCTCCACACAGGCATTGGCTGAGGCCATTCAAGCTAACCACAAGGCCAGTTTGTGACTGAGTGACAGACTGTGATACCCAGAAATCCAAGGAGGGCGAGAACACTGATTGAAAACGTAAAGTAGAAAAAAGAGGTGACGCTGTCAGAAAGCAGAAGGTATTATCAATAAAAGAACAGACTTACCATTTCTGCCCAGTCCATCAATGTCTTAATGTAAAAGATGATTTCCATAATAAGAAATATAGTTAAGGATTTCCTTTAGACATTGTTGGTGCTGATACAGGCATACATTGTGATGGTTTAAAGCACTAATCCAATTAAGTATGGTTTCTGCCCATGGTACTTGTATATAAAGGGTCCAGTTTCTTTAAGAAGTGCACATCAAACTGAGATGGGATGGAATAAGTTGAATATTTGGTGGGGGAGGGGGTATAGGGAGAATCAGGGTCAGGATGGGGAAAGTGGTTGTTCATTAATCTTGATTAGAAGTCAGTTTGTTCAATCCAGTTGTACAACATGACTTGAAAGTTCCTGGAAGAGAGAAAGTCAGACAGTTAGTGTGAATTCCCAGCTCTGTACAGTGTGTAATACCCTGGCAATAGCTGAAGAGGCAAGAGGAGCTTGAAATGATACGCACAGATTGACTTAAATTGGATTTGCCATGTGCATCAGTCACCAGATATAACACTGGGAGTGTCACAGATTGACTGAGTTGGGTTGAGACTCACTTTTCACTGTGGTCATCCCTTGTTTGAATCCAATAGGATGGAAGCTCTCTTTCTATTGGCTGTGGGAATTTTGTGAATCAAGTCGGGAGGATATCTACCGACTTCCAAGTGTTTGTCAGACAATAGCTCAGATTACAGCGAATTTGGAGAATGAGACTCTCTAAATCATAGAACATAGAACAGTCTGAACCTTTACCCGAAATCTAAGGTCTATCTAACCTCCACCCCTACCTTATACTATCATCCATATGCCTATCTAATAGCCGCTTAAATGCCCCTAATGAGGCCGACTCCACTACCCTCTCCGGCAATGCATTCCACGCCCCGACCACTCTCTGAGTAAAGACGTCTCCCCTATATCTACCTCCACTCACTTTAAATCTATGTCCCCTCATAATAGCTACCTCCATCTTAGGAAAAAGTCTCTGGCTGTCCACTCTATCTATACCTCTGATCATTTTGTACATCTCTATCAAGTCACCTCTCATCCTTCGTTGTTCTAAAGAGAAAAGCCCTAGCTCTCTCAACCTTTCCTTGTAAGACCTTCCCTCCATTCCAGGCAACATCCTGGTAAATCTCCTCTGCACCTTTTCCAATGCTTCCACATCTTTCCAGTAATGAGGTGACCAGAACTGGACACAATACTCTGGATGTGGCCGAACCAGGCTTTTGTATAGCTGGAGCATAATCCTAATAATAAGTCAGCATTCATGCTGAGTTGGAGGTAGTTTGTAAGAAAGTCATGTTAGATGTTATCTTATGTGTGTCTATGAGAATCTCAGTCGACTGCTCCTTGTAATCAGAGTGTGGTCATTCTAATCTCTGTCTGGATAGCTGCAAAGAACAGTTACAAGTATAGGCAGAGTCTGTACATACGGAAGTACACACCCCTCTTAGACAATGTGCACTGGAGGGTCAGTAAGTTGATTCTGGTATTAGAGCATTGAGGAGAATTGATGTTTCTCTCTGGGTTTACATGGTGGAAAGATCTCCACCTTCAAGCCAATAAGATTTTGAGACGGCTTGTAGGTAGATGCTGGAAGCTGTTTCATCTCAGCTGGACATTCCAGAATTTGGGATCATGAATAAATTCCAGAACCTGGGTTTAGTCATTTTAAACTTATCTCTGTATGAGAATCCTTCACTCAGAGAGTTGTGAATCCTGGAAACCTCTATTTCAGGGAGCTGTTAATGCTTAGCCATTGAGTGTAGATTAAAGGCTGAGATCAACAGATTTTTGACTTGAGAGATGGTTTGAGAAGGCAAGTAGAACTGAGGTTAAAGATCAGCTGTGATCTTATTAAATGATGGATTCCTCCTGCACCTTTGTCTCATGTTCTTGTATCTCTAACCACCCTTACTCTCACTCAGCTTCCACACATGATCACTGTTCAATAAGGATCACTGGTCTGGAGCAGCAATTTGAGCTGATTTTGTTTTTATTCATTCACAGGATCTGGATATCACTGGATGGACCTGAATTTATTGTCAATCCTAATTGCTCAAAGGAGCAGTTAAGTGTCAATATCTAAGCTAAACTAGGTAAGGACGTGAGTGAACCATGTGGGTTTTTTACCCCTGACAATCAACAACAGTTTCACAGTCATCACTAGTTCCTTAATTCCAGACTGAATTCACACTCCACCACCTTAGGGTAACACGGTGGCTCAGTGGTTAGCACTGCTGCCTCACAGCACCAGGAACTCAGGTTTGATCCCAGCCTCAGGCGACTGACTGTCTGTGTGGGTTTGCACATTCTCCTTGTGTCTGTGTGGGTTTCCTCCGGGTGCTCTGATTTCCTCCCACAGTACAAAGATGTGCAGGTTAGGGTGGATGGGCCATGCTAAATTGCCCCATAGCATCCAGGGATATGCAGGCTGCTTAGGTTAGCCTTGAGAAATACAGGGTTACAGTAATAAGATAGAGAGGTGAGTCTGGGTGGGATGTTGTTCGGAGGGTCAGTGTGAACTTGATGGGCCAAATGACCTGCTTCCACACTGCAGTGATTCTATGATCTGCTGTGCTGGATTTCAAACTCTGGTGTCTGAATTAATAGTCTAGCCATGAGACCATGACCTCCCCTTTGGTTAATCCACAAATAGTGACGTCTTTAAACTTGGATCTACTGATCCAGCAGAAATTGGTTGTGTAAAAAGCCGTGGAGAGTGAATTTACTAATGGAGCCACCTGAAGAATTGTACTTCTGTTTTTAAGGATCATGGTGTTGAGGTGAGCTCAGTCCCTATTGCTGATTAACTGCACAATACTGGGCTGGGGGATATCTGGTTGTACAAACTCTGAACCTTGTCAACATCCAACATTAATGTATCTCCACCTATGTCATCCCTCCTGTTTTAATCCTGATTTGTTCAGTCGGAGAATTGAAAATGTCCTGATGACATTTATGATTTGTAAAAAGGAACTGTTTGTGAAAAATTATATTACTGGCTACACACTGCCCTTTCAGTCAAGCTGATAATTGGATTTTAATTGCTCGACCATATCATAATAATCAGGATTCGTTTTCAATTAGTATACTGTCTGTAATCTGTAGCAAAAAAAAATCCTTTTTTGTAAATCATGTAAATGAACTCTACAGTAAACACAACCATGGATAGGCTACCTCTTTCTCAGCATCCCTAACATCTGCCAGCCTGAGCAGGCCGGTCCTGAGGCCAACATCTCTGAACCCCACCCCGACCCCGACCCCGACCCAGACCCACAGTCCCTCAGTCCTATTAATGTTCCTGCTTCTCCTTTACTGATTTCCCTTTGGCTTGTGTGCATTTGAAGGTTTAGGAAGTGCTGGTTGTGGTGCAAATGCCTCATTGAAGATCAAGGTGTGTCAGTATGAGGAACTGGAAAAATCTGGGAATGAACAAGATCAGGAAATTGTCCCTGAAGGTTAATGGGTCAAACCCACAATTTTTTTAAAACAACAACCTGGATACCTCAGGCTTTCTCAGAATTGGATTGCCAACTCAAAACTGACATTTTCCAGATGGTTTAACACATGACCTTTTGACTCCAACTGACTGACCAATCAGACTGACTTACTTGTCCATTACCTAATCAAAATGATCGACCAATCAAAATGACTGACCGGTCAAACTGATCAATCATACTGGTCAACTAATCAAACTGACATTGTCCAACCAATAAAGTTGACTGACCAATCAAATTGGCCAATTAAACTATTTGACAAATCAAACTGACCAGTCAAACACACATTTTCCTGTTTCTGATACTTAAAAGAAAAATCAAAGAAAATGGGAAATATTATAAATTTCAATATCCCAATTATTTGTAACTTTAGGGGACTTAAGCAGGTAGATGTGGGAAGATTGTTTCCCATTGTGGGAGAGAGAAGGACCAGAGGGCATCATCTCAGAATAAGGTGTTGCACATTTAAAGAGGGATTTTTTTTCCTCTTAGAGGGGAGTGATTCTGTGGGATTTTTTTACCGCAAAGGGTTATTGAGGCTGAGTCATTCAATATATTCAAGGTTTAGATTCTTAATCAGGAAGGGAATTGAGGATCATTTGGAAAAGGCAGGGTTGTGGAGTTGAGGATTATCAGAATTGTCATTGATAGGTGGAACAGACTTGATGGGCTGAATGGCCTATGTTTGCTCCTATACCTTATGGACTAATCTCCTGGCTTGTGTTCACTGCAATATTGACAAGATTAATCTTTGGTTCCTGAAAATTCTGAGGCAGTTCTAAGGGTTGGAACTCCAGAGCGAGAGGTCTTGCTCAGTACCGTATTGAGCAGGTAAGACAGGTCACATTCCCTATGCATACTGAGTCCATCATTCTCACTGGAGAACATCAGTTAGTGAGCTACCTCTAGGCTCAGTACATCAAGCCTGAGGAATCAACCATAAATCAGCCTCGATTGTTACTCCTGATCTTGGAGATCATTCCCTGGGTGATTCCATGAGGCTGAAGGAACTCTGGTGGTTCCAAAGAAGGTTCTCTGAACCTGAAATATTAACACTGTTTTCTCACCACAGATGCTGCCAGACCTGCTGAGTCTCTCCAGCAATTTCTGTTTTGTTTCAGACTTCCAGCATCTGCAGTTCTTTGATTTATTTTTTTTGTGGAGTCACTCTTTGTTACTTTATACAGTTCAGTGGATTGCTGACATACATGAAGAGTTATAGGAAGGATATTATTAAGCTAGAGAGGAGTCAGAAAAGATTTACCAGGATGTTGCTGGGAATGGACGGTTTGAGTTATAGAGACAGGCTGGCACTTTTTTCACTGGAGTGTAAAATTTGAGGGGTGACCTTACAGAGGTTTATAAAATCATGAAGGATATAGATGATAAAGATTTTTAAAAGACATAAGGGGCATCTTTTTTTCACAGGGAGTGGTTCATGTGTGGAGTGAAGTTTCAGAGGAAGTAGTGGATGCAGGTACAATTACAATGTTTATAAGGCGTTTAGATAAGTACATGAATAAGAAAGGCTTGGAGGGATATGAGCCAAGCACAGACAGGTGGGACTAGTTTAGTGTAGGGATATAGTCAGCATGGACCGGTTGGACCAAAGGGGCTGTTTCCTTGTGTGTGACTCTATGTTCCTATCACTCTATGACGATGAATCTAAGAGCAACAGAACAAATACTGAGTGAAGCAAACTATGAGCAAGAGAGATGAGAGAAGAAAAGGATAAAGATTCTGGGTTTGGAGTATCGGGGCGATTGACCGGGCTGATAGACTCAAACCAGGTTTCCAGTGTCCACTGGCATTTCCTTCCTTGTGGTTTCTCCCTGCTCAGCATTGCCTTGAGCTGAGGTGTGGTATCTTGGGTAGTTGACCAATGTCCTTCCTTCAGATCAGAAGTCACACAACACCAGTGTCCTAGTGACTAGGGCATGGGGCAATAGTGGGGTTGGAGATACAGTGGAGATGATTGCAAGTTGAATTGTTGTCAATGAATTCTTGGTCTTGGCCCCCTGCAGCAGTCACAATGATTCAGGTAAGACCGAGAGCTCCCTGGGGCAAAGTTCAGTACAATATCAGGTTGTGTTAGCTCCAGTACCTCAGTGATGAATCCACTGGCACCAATTTGGAAACTAATGGCCATTTTAATCAGGACACCCTCAAACAACTTTCTGTGCTGTGAACAGAAGCTGATGATCTGAAAACTCTGAACAGAGCCAGTGAGGGGAACAAAAACTAATGAAAAAAGACAGAAATAATTTTTCTGCCTTGTAAAACAGAATGTCATAACTCATCTCAGGTTAGAGAAAACACGGGTTAATGAGTCAATTATGGCAGACTCTGAAGTTGAGGTACATGAAAAATAACTACTTAAACCCAACTGGAACTCCTGTGTTAAAATAGCCATAAAACTATCTATCATGTTGTTTCAAAGGACGTGTCAATATTGTATTAAGTCTAATTATAAGCCACAGTCTGGTTTTATTGTCTGTACAGTGAGCAGACTCACTACACTTCATGTGAAACTGACTCATACAGTTTACGGTCTCTTTCCAGCAATCCTCACTGGCAATTAACAGTTTTGCCTGTTTTTATGGCTGCGATCGGTTCAATTTATCCAAGAGACTGCACAGAAGGGGTTACCACACTCTCCCTTCACCTCAGGGTTCGAATTGAAGATCTGCCCAAAATTAGACAACAAACATATTCCCTCTCTGTGAGGGTTTTACGTGACATGGGTAAGGTTAATCTTAGTATATAGTACAATATATGTGGGCCTGGCATTAATTCACACCCATCAGCTTTAAAATGGCACTGATTCAGGGAAAGGTGTGGTCTGAAATGCTAAGGTGCTTCACTGTTGGGATTAAAGAACATTGGGGATGAAATTAACATTGGGCATTAACACAATCTGAGTGTTACAGCGAAACCTCCTATTGCTGACAGCATTGAGTGTAATTGAGAAAGGACAGTAATCACACCAGTTTAGTGATGCCCATTTTACACCACTGTGCTGTGATGATGCTGTCGCTTTAAAAGATTATTTTGTCCTTTTTCTCTTGAAGAGAGGTTGTAAGGCAGAATTGCTGAGCTGGTTACCAGGCCACTTGAGTAAACAACTTGGGATGCCTTGGGTTTTTTTTAAAACAGCCTGAATGGGTGTGGTGAGCTCTCACAGATCAGGATTTCTGAGTAACATCAGAGGTTATTGGGGCCTCAAAAAAGCTGGAAGCTTCAGTGAATGTCTCCTGGCTGCTACTCTCTCTGAATCCTCTCTTAATGTTTCTTCCTCCTGGTTTGGAGAACTGCATGTGAGAAACTGTGTCTGAATTTGCATTTTGCCAAGGGATATATTTGTGGGATGTTACTATATTGGAACCGTTAATTAGTAATAGGTACTGCATCTATTATTCAGTTGAGTTTTCCAACAGAGTTAAGTTATTGTAAATTCCTCTTTCTTTTGTTTATATTTTAACTACAGTGTTTAAATAAATTGTCTTACTTAACATTGAGTAGTTTGACCAGTCACATTGCATCTGGAACACAGCACTTCACATCTACCTTTAAAATAAGAGAAGGTTAAGGTCTAGGCTACCTTCTTAAAATATTTTGAGGGAGTCTGGTCTGGCTCATAACAATGCAAATCCAATAATCATTATTGTTAAAGTGAGTTCCCTTAAAATTATTCAAGGGAATAAATGTGAGAGTTTAGGGCCAGCAATTATTGCCGTTTCCCACCTTCTTGAGGTGCCGCTGTTTGAGTGATACAGGCCACAATGCTGTTCGAGATGAGCCAGGTTTTGACTGAGCAATTGTTTGGGGAAGCGGGTGGGGGTGGTGTGATTAAGGAACTGTTGTTAAAAGGGATTAGAATCTGAAGCTCTGAGGGAGACAAAAGGATCATTGTTTTGGTTCACCGATCTCCTGACAAAGTGAGGGAAGAGCGAGAAAGGGAAATATCTGAACAAATGCGTTAAAAAGAGCAGTGCTTCAAAGTAGAGTGTACTCTCTCTAACCTCAGTAACATTCTGATGGTGTTGGTCTCTGGTGCACAAATGGATGGCATCAAAGTTTAACATCAGTCCGCTCTACTGGCTCCTTTATGTCTTCTGCAGTCTGCATGACTTGGCATTCTGGAACAGATCAAAGATCAGTCAGAGGTTTGTCCTGTGAATATCAAGCAGACAAACAAAAACAACCACTTGGTATGTTTTTTTTTCTGAAGAAGAGTCTAGACCCGAAACATCAGCCTTCCTGCTCCTCTGATGCTGCTTGGCCTGCTGTGTTCATCCAGCCCTGCACCTTGTTATCTCTACTTGGTATGTTAACTAAGGTTAAAAAATAACAAAATCAATTCTTCTGGCATTTCCTTCCTTGTGGTTTCTCCCTGCTCAACATTGCCTTGAGCTGAGGTGTGGTATCTCGGGTACTTGACCAATGTCCTTCCTTCAGATCAGAAGTCACACGACACCAGGTTAAAGTCCGACAGGTTTATTTGAAATCACAAGCTTTCTGAGAGCTGCTGTTTTGTCAGGCAAAGTCAGTGCTCCAAAAGCTTGTGATTTCAAATAAACCTGTTGGACTATAACCTGGTGTCATGTGACTTCTGACTTTGTCCACCCCAGTCCAACACCATTATCTCCACATCATGGCTTCCTTCAAGTGTTAGCTTTAGCAGGCTGTTCAACTGCAGGAGCATCACAGCAGGTTTGATTGGTCCTGGCACTCACTTTCTAACAGGATTTGTCGGATGTTGATTGGAGCATTGTCTGTGACCTCTGTGTAGGTGAAAATTAACCTCCTTGTGTTTATTTTGATTAAGTGGAAGACAGAGGCAAGAGAAGCAGAAGGAGAAAAGCAACAAGAGAGGGTGGCACAGTGGCTCAGTGGTTAGCACTGCTGTCTCACAGCGCCAGGGACCTCAGTCCGATTCCACCCTCAGGCAACTGTCTGTGTGGAGTTTGCACATTCTCCCCATGTCTGTGTGGGTTTCCTCCAGGTGCCGCAGCTTCCTCCAACAGTCCAAAGATGTGCTGGTTAAGTGTCCAGGGTATGTGCAGGCTGGGTGATTTAGCCATGGGAAATGCATGGTTATAGGGATAGGGTAGGGGGTTGGGTCTTTATGGGATGCTCTTCAGAGGTTGATGTGGACTCAATGGGCCAAATGGCCTACTGCCACACAGTAGGGATTCTAGGAGTGAGAAGTGAAGAAGAGGGGAAAACAGAAGTGTAAGGAGATCAAGTCAATGAAAGAGAGAAGGTTTTCTAACCAGAGAAAACTGCAGGGCAGACACAGATCTGGACGATTGCTTAGTCCATGAGCAGAGTGGATTCAGGGATAATGATCAAAAGCCAAGGAGTTAAATTTCTGACAAGGATTTTCTTGACTTTTCCAAATAATTTGAGTGAAAAGGACTCACAGAAAAGCCCCAGAAAAGTGACAAACTCCATTTGCATTGTTTTATCTTTCTAAGTTTCTGCAAAGCTTAGGGACCAATGCTCTGGGAGCAAACAGGAAGATTGCTTGTGGAAGTTTAATTTCAGACAGAGGGAAGGGGCTTGCTAAGAAATGGAGAGAGAGAGAGAGACAAGAGCAAAGACTGACAGCTAGCTCTCGGGATCTCGGAGTTAGAGGAATGGAAGTAAAGCTGAGCTTGAAATTTCTGAAGGAGCATGTGTGGACTGTGAAGTGAATTCCCCAGAAGGTTGTTATTTGTTAAAGACAAAGTATTCAGAGGAAGGAAAAGATAAGGTCACATTACAAGCTGTGAATGATCTGCCCTGATAGCAAAACTTATCAGAAACACCAGTAAAATCCAAACTTCTTCATTTTCTGTCATCATGAATCTGACATCTGAAAATTGGATGTAACTTGCCCCTTACTGATCACATTTAGATAACAGCTCATACTGAAGAGCAGATGTCAGCATTGGGTGACGCCAAATGGGTGAAGTTTAATTCATTTCTGTGTTTCTGCTGACTGAGTTAGTGGAGCCTTTTAATTAACTTTCACCCAAAGAAGGGCAAAGCACAGAATTAGAAACCAGAAATGCTGAAAAGAGATGATAACCTCAGGATTAGTCCCTTTCACAGACTTTGGTCCAATTTAGTCCATTTTCTCCATCAGACATCACCTCTCTGACAATGATCCATGATCACTCACTGTTCTGCTTCACCTGTTGGCTGCTCCCCCCACAGTCAAAACCAGCATCTTCCAGATCTCACTATTCCACAATTTTCCTTCCCAGATCCCATCTTCCAGTATGTGTGAACACATGCACATCCGAAACTGATGCCAGTGTCGCAGCTCACAATCAGCCTGTGCTCACACAACTTTGTCAGATCTTTATCCTACTCAACTTGGAGTTCTCATCTGTTCCCATACCTCTATGACCCCAGCCTATCCCTATAATCTCCTATAGCCTCACTACCTCGCTATCTGCGCTCTGCCTATTGTGAGCCTGACTTCCTTCATGTCAACATGTGCCTTCAGTTGCCTTGATATTAAACTCTGGAATGTGCTCCCTAAATCTCTCCACCTCTCTCTTTCCTCATTTTAGACGTTCCTTAAAATCCATGTTTTGAGCAAGTTATTCGTCATTTGTCTCTCAGAGGCAATATCTACCTGTGAAATATCTTTGAATATTTTACATTTCTGCACTGCCTCAGGGCAGAGTAAGCTGTTGTTAGGCATTCCCAACATTTTATGTTCTCATTTTTTTAGCCTTTCAAGGGATGTGAGTGTCTCTGATAGGTTTTTGTCCATCCCTAGTTGCCCTGGAACTGATCGTCTCTCTAGAGCCATTTGAGGGGGCAGCTAAGAGCTGACTATATTGCTGTCAGTCTGTAGTCACAGACTACAGGATGGGTAAGGATGGCACATTTCCTTTCCGAAGGGGCATTAGTGAACTAGGTTGGTTGGTACAATAGTCAATAATGGATGCCATTACTGGGGCTAGTTTCCACATGTGGATTTATGGATTTAATTTCCACCAGCTACCCTGGTGGGATTTGAACCCAGATCCTCAGTCTCTGGATTATAGTCCAGTGGCAGCAACAATCTGCCAAGATGTCACCATCTCGGACCAAGTGGAGTTTAAACAATTAATGGGTCACAATTTCACTAGAAACCATCAGTTCCCAACTATGTTCCAAGCTCAGCCTCAGATTAATAACTAACTATTAACTAGCTCTTAACTAAATATCAGGGCAAGGCAGAAATAGGGAAGAAGGAAGTGGTGTAATAGGGTTGGGGATGGCCATGGGATGGAGCTAAGTGATGCAATAGGACACAGGGACAACAAGGTGCAGGGCTGGATGAACACAGCAGGCCAAGCAGCATCATAGGAGCAGAGAGGCTGACGTTTCGGGCCTAGACCCTTCATCAGAAAAGGGGGAGGGGAAGGGGGTTCTGAAATAAATAGGGAGAGAGTGGGAGGCGGATAGAAGAGGGATAGAGGAGAGGATAGGTGGAGAGGAAACAAACAGGTCGAAGAGGCGGGGATTGGGAGCCCTGCAGCCCAATGGTATCAATGTGGATTTCACAAGCTTCAAAATCTCCCCTCCCCCTACCGCATCCCAAAACCAGTCCAGCTCGTCCCTGCCTCCCTAACCTGTTCTTCCTCCCACCTATCCCCTCCTCCCACCTCAAGCCGCACCTCCATCTCCTACCAACCAACCTCATCCCGCCCCCTTGACCTGTCCGTCCTCCCTGGACTGACCTATCACCTTCCTAACTCCCTACCTACACTCACCTTTACTGGCTCCATCCCCGCATCTTCGACCTGTTTGTTTCCTCTCCACCTATCCTCTCCTCTATCCCTCTTCTATCCGCCTCCCACTCTCTCCCTATTTATTTCAGAACCCCCTTCCCCTCCCCCTTTTCTGATGAAGGGTCTAGGCCCGAAATGTCAGCCTTTCTGCTCCTATGATGCTGCTTGGCCTGCTGTGTTCATCCAGCCCTGCACCTTGTTGTCTCGGATTCTCCAGCATCTGCAGTTCCTACTATCTCTGATTC